GGGGGGGGGGGGGGCTGGAGTCAAGAGACGGAATATTTACATGTCGCAGGGAACCGAAGGCTAACTGGGCAAGGCGAAGGGAATTTAGCCACCATATTCGTTTCATTGCTGTTCCTTTTGCAACGCATTTCTTTGTTATATAAAGTACACTGTGTAGTTGCATTTATTGTATTTCTGCTGCTTTGGATATGCTCTGTGTTCAGCTGCTCTATCACCGTTGTGCACCTTCTATGCCACCCTCGGTTGTGGACTTACTTTCTACCTGCATCTATCCATACGGTCATTCACTTGAGTTTTCCTATCTCACTTATGGTACCTGTCTAACATTCATTTGTGTTGTTTGCATCCGTTGTGCAGTGCACTGGAAAATGGTGGGAACCGCGAAAAAAAAAAAAAAAAAAACTTTTTTGTCCTTTAAAAATGTCACAAATTCATGGATTTCATCGACCATCTAGGTAGTTTTTTGCCATTGCAAGCAGTCAGGGCACTCTCCTCCCTCAGCTTTTTTTTTACCAGAATTGTATTGCAGGCCTTCCCTCAGCGTTGCGTCTCCTTCAGTCGCAGATACATATCAAGAAAGCACAACTTTCCCAGCAGGTTGGCTTTTTTTTGATTTTTTCTCATCGTCGCTAAACAGAAGGCTTGCTTTTTTCGGTTTCGCCTAACTAATCTTTTAAAAATTACGTGACAGTCATTTGTTATGCGTTTGCAGCAAAGCAATGCGAAAAACGCATATTGACGAGAGGTTGTCTATTTGTCTGTGTGTGCGTCTGTCACGCACTTTCATCTCAGGACCTATAAAAGCTACGGTGCTGAAATTTCGGGAACTTAATGTTCGTGCACGTGCCGGCCCCAGTCCCCAAAACGGGCGCCATAACCCGCGTGGTACCCGCGTGCGGGCCCGCCGAACTTTTTTTGGGGGCAGTTCATAACTCGACCCCAATCCCTAAAATGGGCGCCAAAACCCGCGTAGTACCCGCGTACGGACCCCCCAAAGTTTTTTCGGGGTCAGCTCATAACTCGAGGATCTACATCCCCAAAATTGGCGCCAAAACCCGTGTGGTACCCGCGTACGGACCCCCCAAAGTTTTTTTGGGATCAGTTCATAACTCGAGGATCTAAGAAGCTAGAAGGCTGAAATCTTGGAGTAATGTTCCCCGCCCAAGCGGCTATTAGTGGGCTCAAACCCGGCCTGCTAGGAGGCTGAAATCTTGGGGTAATGTTCCCCGCCCAAGCGGGTATTAGTGGGCTCAAACCCAGCCCGCGGGTAAGCGTGGTACCCGCGTACGAGCCCGCCAATTTTTTTCGGGTAAGTTCATAACTCGGGGATCTGAGAAGCTAGAAAGCTGAAATCTTAGGATGATGTTCCCCGTCCAAGTGAGTGTTAGTGGGCTCATACCCAGCCCTCGGGTAAGCGTGGGACCCAAATACGGGCTCGCCAAAATA